CTTCATTTGTTTATTTCTTCAGCTGGTGTTCCAATACAGTTTTCTGAGCAGCCCACTAATGGTGTTGCGTACTTCAGGGCCATCTCCAGTATCTCAGATATCCCTGATGACCTCAAACCTTACCTGCCATTATTCTGTTTCGTCATTACAAAGTGAGTGAAGTGTCATTCATGAARTGACATACAACTGACACCACGGCTTAAAATAACGGCCAGACATCGGACAATGTCCACCCAGAATTAGAACTTGTCTGGTCAAAKCTTTGCCTTGCTATTTATTGTGACAAGGAAACTAGGTTTAACCTCCTAATGTAGCTGTACTAGTATGGCCTGTCATCRTGACTGGCGACTGACCAGCAGTTATYTTAAGCCCTGTACGAACCTAACCAACAGTTTGTGTTCAGATGCACGCAGGMTATGTACACACCTGATACTCTTTACCTGATTCCTTCGCTGTTCTGTATTCCCTTGTTTGAATCGTTGAGCAGTTTTCGCATGGCTGTGAAAAGCTCAGTGTCGTAAGCGTGCCGTGCCTTGACCGTRATGTTTTCTAGATTTTTATTTGGCAGATTTTTTYTCTCGCGCARTGTGATTGGTCTGRCAKTGCCGTGACCTTGTCGTGACCGTGTCCGCGCCGTGTTTATGCCGTGTTYCGGGTATTTGATKGGATGGAGAGTAAATTCTCGCTCAAAGTGATTGGTCTGGCGTAYGCTTTGCCGTGTCACGACCGTGTTYGTGCCKTGAGCTTTYCACAGTCATACGAAAACTACTCTATGCATACACGTGTTGTTACAGTGCACCTGTTGAATGGTTAACGTCAACTAAATTAGATAAGTTATTTACTATCTTAGTTGTCGTCACATAAATTGGCAATTCACGGTCAACGGTCTGAAAATCAGGGGGAGAAAACGAAGATGTAATCGACTGTCTCTTTACACATTCTCTGGTAAAGTAAGCCCCCCCGGATGCGCTTTTTTGCTATTTTAGGTGACGTCAACTAAATAGTTATATAAGTTAGTTATCAGTTAGACGACATAAAAGCGCGCGCCCATGGCGATATAGACGCACGAGAGAAAATAAAAATAAAGAACGATTTTAATCGTTTAATTTTAATTGTTAAAACAAGCGAAAGAGTGACACGAGGCGAAGCCGAGAATAAATTTAGCTAACTATTCAACAGTGTGACTAAATGCAACCTAACCRAGACTCTGGTGTTTTTCTTCAGGATGGGAGCAGGAAACCTGAATTACAAGGAGCTGGCGCAGATTATCGAACGAAGAACAGGAGGATTGTCTGTCGGCACTCACGTGTGTACACACCATACAGRAACCAATAAGTATGAACAGGTAGGTGGTGGCCATAAGGGATCGAAGGAGAAAGTTATTAAATGAAAGAGAATTAACATTACTGGAAGTGGAGAGCAATGGAAGTAAAACAAACAGAAATATGAAAATGAATGCATGTGTGCAAGAAAATTTAAAAATTCCAGTTTAAAGTAAGAGGAGAGAGCAGACAAAACAAAGAAAGTTAAAGGTTTTATCAAGAGCAAGAGAAAAATTTCAGTAAAACTACTGCATTCAAGGCCATCCGAACAAATTTTCTACAAATTAGCCAATCAAAAGTGGGAATGTGAACAATAGAATTGCTACAAATCGGACAGATATCCATGAGTTTACACAGCTGAGAAAGCTGCCAGCACCTTTGTTGTCGAATATAAACGTGCTCTCGCATAGTAACATGGTGATAAAATCTAACAGTGTCAGCCTGATGATATCGTTGTCTGGAAGAAACAAAATGTAATCATAAAGACTGTGTTTTATACGGTTTCTATTTTGCTATCCTTTCGTATTTGAAGTCATACTTTACTATTTTTCTATATTTTTGACACAAATCACTAATTTGCGAAGAAAATATATTACAAGCTCTTCTTCGTCATTTAGTTTTATCAACCGTAACAAAAGAAGAATATTTCAATTCAAAATTTGTCGCTAATCTATAAGCCTTTTCATAGTTTAAGAATCGATTCCACTGCGCATGCGATTTTATCCCGAATTTCTCACCTTCTTTTGTTTAATTAAGAACAAAAGAAGGTTTAGAATAAAGAAGGTGAGAAATTCGGGATAAAATCGCATGCGCAGTGGAATCGATTCTTAAACTATGAAAAGGCTTATTGTCTAAATGCTCGAACACTTTTGGATGATTTGTAGAACATTTGACGAGGCGGCCKTGGTTGGAGTAGTGGCACTKTAARTGCAAGGCTATGTTATTGAGAAAAAAWTAGGTCTTATTATGTATTGTTCTAATTGATGCTTTTTAGGGCGTGATGTTTTCTTCTCACTGTTTGGATGGTAACYTACCACACATGTTTTATCTCTGGGGAGAGATATTTGCAAGGTARTGATAAGATATTACATAGATTGTTGATCAAAACGTAGTGCAGGATGTTCTCTCACTTTTTTCCATTTTGGCATGTCAGTCGCTGCTCCTGATTACGTCATGCAACAACCAAGAATGTTTACATTATGCGGCCCAGGATTTCCACAAATTACCTTTATTCACTAACTTGTCTAATAAATTTACAACAACTAGAAGAATGGCCGCCCTCTTTCTCCACTCACACCGTGCTTCTTGTCCAGTCTCTCACGGCCTGTGTCTACTACAGGCCCACTATTACATTGCTATTTTGTTTCACCAGGCCCATGTTAGATGACCAAGAKCGTCTTCGTACCCTGATWAATATGATGGCGGCAGATTTTGCTAACTCCATTGCACATTCTGGTCATTCATATGCAATGAGCCTGGCTTCCAGTGTCTTGACTCCGGCTTCACATCTGGGTGAAATATTTGGTGGCTTGTCCCAGGTAGGGCTTTCAGAACTCACCTCCCGATACACCTCTTTACCTTGGGCGTGTTTTCCCATTTCAGACCACGTGTCATTCCCTAGAGTATCATTTCTTTATTTAACGGTTTACACCTGATAATAAACCTCTTTAGCTTTGGCGTAATGTTGTCCCATTTCAGACCGCGTGTTATTCCCTAGAGTATCATTTCTTTATTTAACGGTTTACGCCTGAGAATAAACCTCTAGCTTTGGCGTAATTTTTTCCCATTCAGACCACATGTTATTCCCTAGAGTATCATTTCTTTGTTAAATGGTTGCGCATGAGAAGACATACGAATATGGATACAAGTCAAACATTCTCCAGAGCATGGCACGTGGTCTGGAATGGTTAAAACACTACAGCCGAAATAAAAATATTATTATATTTTGATTTGTTTTATTCATTGTTGTTTGATCTCGGCATTTCGTTGTTTTAGGTTCTCTTCATGAAAAATTTGGTTGATATGGAAGATCTCACGCCTGTCATTCAAAAACTAACGACAATAGCTGTACATGTACTAGAGGGTACTCAATTCAGGTAACAATACAAGGAACCCCTTAATAGCCCTAAGACTTAAGACTTTTCTAAAGTCCCCAACCCTCTCAAATATTTAATGTTTCATGCAATGTAAAAAATTATAATTTATCTCAAGTTAGACTTGCCAAAGATCCAGGTAGAATCCTCCAGGTATTCTCATGACATGAAGCACATTAGCACCGAAACCCTCATCCTGCATGTAGTTTTTTTATACAGCCACCTTTGGTGTTTTTTATACAGCCACCTTATGGTTTTGTTGAATGTTGAATACCAAGCCAGAAATGCGTTGTGAGTGATGTGAATGCACTCAAACAAACGGCACAAGGATATGAAWTTTTTCTAAACTTTGTCTGAATGTTTTTCCAGCATATCTTCCTTGGTGCTGAAATTATTTACATGTGATCCACAATACACTTCTGACTTAGTATGAGGCATACAACACAAACAAAATCTTCACCCTCCAATATCGCTTATTATCAATCACGTGACTTTTTTGGAGTTGACTGGGGGGCAAACAAGCGGTTGACTGAGGGGCAACTAGCGGATGTTTAGTCAAAACATGTAGAAATAAATCCTCAAATTATTGTATTTGACTACCTCTACGACATGAAACCAGAAAACAAGAGAACAAAACGACCGTCAAGATTCTACAGGATTCTACCAACCATTAAAAACGAAGCTATTACCGGAAGTGACGTCTATTGATAGCGACCTGTTTTGAAGTAGCAGTATATTTAGTTTTGTTGTGTTGTCTAAATGTGCAGTGAATACGATCCCAGAAAGTAGATCTGCTGTAGAGACAGCACTAGAAGGTTGTTGTATATAAGTATTGTTTTTGTTGTGTTGTCTAGATGTGCAGTAAATACGATCCCAGAAAGTAGATCTGCTATAGAGACAGCACTAGAAGGTTGTTGTATATTAAGTATTGTTTTTGTTGTGTTGTCTAGATGTGCAGTAAATACGATCCCAGAAAGTAGATCTGCTGTAGAGACAGCTTTAGAAGGTTATTGTGATGCACTACCTAGTAGCACCGTTGATGAACCAGGAACAGTATTGGTAGGTATTGTGCTGTCATTTGGGGTTCCTGTGGTGACGCTTGCTGGGGACTATGGGGCATATTGCTTGGTATCAATCAGCTGAATGACTCTCGTTACCAGTGAACAAACACTGCCCGTCATGTGCTATCAACAGAAAGTGTTCTATCGCTTGGTATCAATCAGCTGAAAAGATTTTTTTACTGAAAAGATCGTATGAATTCCCTGGTCTCTCCCCGGTAATTCCCCTCTCTATCCCTAGGGCGGGGGGGTGGGGTTTTCAATTGACTAGTGTATTAGTGGAAGGCAAGCACTTAATTCCATTGCTCAATCGCAAAAAGTTACCATTCACCAGACAACACCAAACTTGGTTTCCTCCTGGTGTAAGAWATTATTTCCTTTTTTAAAGAATCTCGAATTTCAACCCAAGTCCAACAAGACGCACTTTGAACTACCCTTCCCGGTGAACTACTCCAGTCGATGTATTAACGCAGTTACTTACAACCACCAAGATTATCCAAAGTAAGTATCAAAACAAGAGAGCATAAATAAGAAATGGGGAACTTCTAAATARCGCGCGCGCCATGTAAATTCCCGTTTGGGCTATTCTTAGTAACCGGATACAGTTTAAATTTCGCCTTACCCTACTCCCGTGCGTCTTCAACTTGC